TTTTTTTTTGAAGGAATAGGTACGTCCGACCGTATTCCGTGAAGTCAATGCCGGGCTCTCCGACCCTAAATTTACCGGTGCTATTAAGCCTGGTCAGCTGATCTTTCAGCCACGGGTTGCAGGAAGGGGCCAAAAAGCACGATATTTGCGTCTTCCACCAGTCTAGGCCTCAATGTTGGTGAGCTTCAACTGGCTAGTGAGACGCCACTGTTGTGGGGGCCAAAAGGCGATACTTGTTGCTGTCAATCCAAAGGCTTGATTTGAGGCTCTCTCGGAGATTCCCGACAGGCCTCGGTGCTTTGATCCTGTGTCCACAACGGCTTGCAATGACACCACGACACTTTTTGGGCGTTCATTCTTTTCCAATGTGGAGTATAGGTACACTAGCAGCTGTTAGCAAGTGTGATATTCATCAAGTTCATTTATTGCCCAGCTAGCCAGGGCGCACCTCCATCCTTGGTCACATTTGGCCTTTTCTTCTTTATCTCCTGGTCTACGACGCTGTCAGGTACTTGCAACCCCAATTCACGTCATTAGCTTTCCTATGTTGGTTTTGCGAGCTTAGTAGATTGCCATGGCTCCCGTGAAAGAGGCACCAGTATCCAGACAGCGCAGAGCCCAACGGAACCGATCCAAGACGGGCTGCCGAACCTGCCGGTAAGGATACGATCTTGTCTCCGATACGCTGTGCCAGCCCTGATAGCTCACCGGTGCAGTGCTCGCCATATTAAATGCGACGAATCACCCGGTGGCGTATGCCGAAACTGCACGTCGACAGGTCGCATATGTGAAGGATATGATTTGTGCCGGCTGCCTCATAAACGATCTGTTGTATATCTACCCGGCTTTGCAAACAGTCTGTGTTGGATTATGAACTCAGATGAGAAAAGGTGCTTTTCATACTTCCATCATCACTCAATCTCCAGTTTAGCGTCCTTCTTCGACTCCCCATTGTGGGAAAACCTTGTAAGGCAACTTAGTCACACAGAGCCGGCAGTGTATCATGCTGCTAATATGCTGGGTGCCGTTCAAGAAGATTCAGAAGAAAATGGCATGCGTCTGGCAGGTGTCAATCTGCATCGTCCACGACACCGATTCGCCCTGGAACAGTCTGCACGTTCCTTTGCTCTTCTCAATAAACGACATGCATCTCATGATCCACAATTGAGAGAGATAACTCTAGTATGCTGTCTGCTGTTCACATTGTCAGAGCTGTTATTAGGGCGGTATCATACAGCCTTGTGGCATCTCCGGAGTGGTCTGCAAATTTTGAGTGAGGCAGCGGCTTACACACACTGCTTACCAGCCATAGATCAGTTTCTGGTAGAAGCCTTCGTGCGTCTGGACACACAATCATCGCATTTCGCGACGGATGGGCCGCTCTTGCATCTAAAAAGGGACGCGGAGGAGTGGTCATCCGGCGATGCGATTCCGTTGCCTCGCAATGTGCAAGAAGCTCGACGGGAACTAAACCACGTATTATGCAAAGGCATTCCTTTTCTCTCCGAGTGTTGGGTACTCTCCAGTACGGAGATAGAGCTCAACTTTAATTCACTGCGCCTAACCCAACAGAGCCTCCTTGCTTCTCTATCTCAACACAAACAGCGACTAGAATCGTTCTGCAAACAGTCATATGCCAAACTCAACGCAAAGGAACAACGAGGAGTGGAAGTACTCCAACTGCAGTACCTGGATCAGATCCTGAGTGTTAAAACTTGCCTTTTTAACGGCCCAATTCCCGGATATTTGACACCTGAATACGTGGCCTTGCTATCCGCGCATGAATCGCTGATGGCAAAGTTCCCGGAGCGTTCCACTATCACCTTGGACAATGGCATCATCCCGGGACTATATATCGTGGCATCCAAATGTCCTGACTACCGTGTGCGCTTACAAGCAATCAGGGCTCTCCAGTCCTGGCCACATTGCGAGGGTTTTATAAATTCCAACATAATTGCTTCTTTGGCCTTGGAGTCTCTCAAACGCGAACTGGTGAAGGTGAACAAGGCCGAGCTGTCACTCATAGTTGGGGACAACGAAGAAGAATTGGTCCGCTTCTTGTTTGATACTCTAAATTGCACAGAGCAGGCTGCATATTGGTCAATCATTAGAGCTTCGAAGATTCTGCAGCATAAGCCATGAACCACGAAACCCTTCCTCGCAATTAATACCTCTTTCCGATGGCATTCACCGTTATTAAAAGCATGACTTCCTGCAAAGGGATCAATCCTTTGTCGATATAGCAAGGCCATGATTGTATGCTTCTATAAGATTAATGAGGGCAGATATCCCGATACATGGTACATATACGCAGTCTACTGTCATTGAGATTCTATATAACTGAATATGTGGTACATTGTATGACCAAGGGAAATCATAAACAGGAGAACGACAGATAACAAGTCCGGCGCTGTCTACGCTCTGAGAATATTCATTCTCCCAAAATAGCCTCAAATACCGCAGTACAAACGTCCCCTTCAGACTTCCAAACTTGAGTGACTTTGAACTCCGCCTTCTCGAGCAGATTAATCCATTGCTTCTCCGTTCGCTCCAGGGCAGAAAAGACCTCCATCATATGGAGATCGAGTGTTGCAGATATAGCGGGCACATTGGCACCGTCGGGCATTACATGCTCGTTGACAAGGAGTATGGAGTCACTGGCCATTGCCTTACGGATGTGACGCAGAGCTTCCAGGGCCGCCTTGTCTGGCCAGTCATGCAGTACCGTCCGCATGTAGTAAGCCTTGGCCCCTTGGATTGGCTGGCCCTCGAACATATTGCATTTGACGGCACTGATTCCTTCGGGCAGCGGCTCTCTGATGTCGTCAATGACTTGTGGGAGGTCCTCGAGGATGTATTTGCCCGGCAGCTGTGGGAACCTTGTCTTGAGTGCGGTGATATCATGTCCAACGCCACCACCGACGTCGACCAAAGCAACTCGATCTGGAGTTACCTGTAGCTTGTCCAGGACTGGATAAATCTCGAACCACTCTATCCCGCAGTGTCTCTTGCTCTCGGTCATTACTGAGTTAAAGACCCTCTGTATCGCAGGTCTCTTGCTTAACCAGTCGAAGTAATGCTCTTTCGTTTGATAGGCCAGTTGGAAGGGCGCATCGTAAGCATCTGAAGGATTCCTGTAGTCCCTTTGTTCAAAGTAGTCAAACAGTTTCGCAGTCATTTGCATATTGGTGTGACTGGTTTCGTTAGGATAAGACAGATGAAGAAAGGCGACGAGACTTACAAATGCTTAATCACATCACCAGGCACCGATCCAGTTCCGAATAGCATGGCTATCTGTGAAGGCCGATATGTTTCGGCATCCGTTTCCTTGCAGATCTTGTGGGAGCAAAGGAACCGCATAATACGTTCTAGCCAATGTAAGCTTTGTTCCTCTCCACATGAGTTCATGATGGGCACATACCGAGAAGTTCCAAGTCCCCTTTCGTTTTGGACGAAAGTTCTCCCAGTGTCATCTCAGCCCCATTAGACGTGACGAACGCATCAAAGATCCCCATGCCCTGGGCCACCCTGATTCCAGTAATCCCATAGTGCTGTTTGGGTCAGCACCGATTCAATCACAGAGGGGTTCGGCATTTCCTACCGCAAAACAGTGCTTTTGGATGACATGGACCGGTGTCTCCAGTGCAGCTTGAAGCTGACCAATCGCCCCGAGAAGTTGCATACGCTCCTCATCTTTAATGTTCTCGGGAGCTGGGAAGTTTTCCAGTGCGGACGTAAGAGTAGAATTAAGGTCAGACAGGGAGGTGGCCATGATGAGAGTATCCAGAAGAGATATGTGTGAAAATGTTCGAAATGACAGGAATCTGTTCTACAAGAAAGGTCGCAGGCTCTCCAGGGTATCACTGCCTTTATATACATTTGCAGCCCATAATAATATTGTCCACTGGTGGCACCATGTTCGGTCAATGTCGTCGCCTCGACGGTAAACACCGAACTTCGGGCTAAGAATGCTCGAATACCCCGAGAACTGGGAATCCTATACACGCGCACACAATTGCCAGTTCACGCTTTCCCATCACTGTTGGATCGAAATTGACTGGCTTATAATGTAATTAACAAGTCACCTATTGTAAAGCCCATGCATCGGTCACACCGCTACTCTATTTGATTCTGATATTCGCCGATTTCATAGTGGTATATATATCCCTATACTATCAGCTGGTACATGATGTAGAAGAATAGAGAATCTATCTAATTTCTTTGAGCTATACCAAGCGGCTTTCTAGAGTAGCATACCCTAACTGCTGTAATCTAGCTATAATCTAATTTAAATTATCCTAGTCAAATTAAAATATAGGTTTTTTTATCTAATCTAGAATCGAGCAAACGTGAGCGGGTTTGCATTTTGAGGGCTTTTGCAACAGATCAGCACCATTTTACTGACACAAGCCACATAATGAGGTATATGGAAGCCTGATGGGATATTCTATCTACTCCTTAACCAGTCAACCTTTAGGGAATGATGACATAACACGAGAAGAACAGAGAGAAAAACCATTGACCCGGTACCAATCGGCTTAGTGGATGTCTCTTACGTCTATATGAGGTCTATATGAGGTTTACGCTTTGCATTTCTACTTTGCACTGATTACTTTTCCGGGTTGAGGTTGGAGACTTCACTCCCATTCAACCACAAGCTTCACTAGGCTTTCATTCACCAATACGTCTTCACCCATCGTTGCAAAATTCATCCCGAACCTGCCGAGTTCCTGTGCGGCCTCGACGGCACGGACGTCACTCCAGGATCCTTGAGCTCAATTCTTGATATTTTGAACTCACTCTCCATTCTTTCTACGGAATTAGACAATATGTCGATAAAGCAAGCCCGCGCGAGGAAGGTGGCTTCCCAAGCCCTTCCTCAGTTCTCCCTTGGTCCAAACCACATCAAGTCCAACGCCCTCCACGATATCGAGTTTGTGGGCGAGCTCCATCATTGGTCCAATTTTCTCCGTTTGGTCTAAATATATGTCAAAGGTCATCAAGTACACCCATGGATTAGGCGATCCTGAGGCCGAATCACAACTCATTGGAGATAAGACAGGGCTTCAGGGTGTTTTCAATCATTCGGTGGGGTTTATGGTTGGAAAAGTCGTAAAGGCCCTATGTCAACACGCCTGATGGCATTCTGACGACCAAGAAGACTCAGCTAAAGGTTGTTGGGGAGCTAAAGACCCCTTGGGTATACGAATATGAGGCGAGGAAGGCATATGAGGAAGAAGCCATGCCTCGCCATTTGCATGCCCAGCCGATCAAATACATGAGGGATCTGAATTGCATGTATGGCTTCATGAGCGACTACTGTCGGACGATATTCCTTGGGCAGGAGTTTCTTACAGGCAGATGGGTTGTCGATTACTCTCTAGTCATTTAGGCATCTACCTAATATATCTCTGGGCGATCTCCAGGCTACACCAGTTGTGTCATTGAGGCAATGTTTCCTTGCTGTTGCAGCTCTATCACAGGCGCAGGAGCCTGCTTACAATACAACACCAAAGTCAGAATGCGTTGTGCAAACGAAATGACATTGTGACTACGAGTCCCCAAGTCCCACTCTGCGCCTCCGGATCAGCGCCATGTTCAGCGTCACAGAAATAAGAAAGGATCTGGGTTTCCCGTTTTTCTAAGAGTCAGAGCCCTCAGAAGCTCCTTTCTTTTGTTTCCTCGCGCTATGTCTTCTATCTAGAGTCGATTACAGCTATTCTTAATACTGATCTTTCATCTCGATGCGCTATCCACCTCTACGCATAGCTTGAGACCAGATTCACATTTGAATACAGGTAAAACCAGTCAATTTTGCCTTTCCTTTCCTTTTTTCCATCTAACAGGCCGTCTACAGCCCAACATTGAGCCTTGTTCCGAATGATCGGAGTGGCAAAAAGGGATGGACTTCGCCAGCCTGGAGATGTGGAGATTCCAGTCTTTAAGCAACAATTGAACACAGGGATTTCCAAGGTAAATAAGAAAATGAATGACGAAAGAATCTCCACCTCTCCCCAGATGCTTCATTATCATCACCGCCGGGAGACCCGCGTCCCCATACTCGGCTTTTCCGACTACCCCGGATTGTCCATGCTCGTCCAATGACTGCCGAAGAATGTTGGCTTCTCCTGCTCTCAAGCCCCTCCTCAACACCTTCTCTATACCGGTGTTGATCGGTGTGCAGCGACGATCCATCGCCGGGGGTTTAAGTACCCGCCCCTCGGCTGGCCCATGCGGACGTTTTATTTTCGCTTGTCTTGGAGGTGGATCCAACTCACCTAGAACAAAATGACGGACTCAATCAAGGAGTCCATCAGCCACCTCGAGACCGTTGCGGATGAACGGGGGTTTACAGGTTCTCAAGACATGAAAGAGCCAAATGTTGATCCAAATCATCCACAGGTAAGCACGGAAACTGTTAGTTTCGGTGGGCGAGCTAACATGGAGATTCCCAGAACTGGTCCACAGGCGCGAAATTATGCACCTATCTTACTGTCTGCTTCTACACCTTTCTCGGCAATGTAAACGGAAGTAACTTCACGGTCGCGACTCAAGCTATTATCAAGGAATTCCACGTTTCCCAGACCCAAGCTGGCGAGCTAGTGTGCTTTAACGTCTTCCTTCTGGGGTTGGGAAATGTCTTCTGGGTGCCATTGATGCGCGTCATCGGCAAGCGACCGGTCTATTTATTGTCTATGTTATCTCTCGCGATGATGAACGTCTGGTCTTCCCGCGCGTCGAGCTATGGGGAACTGCTGGCTGCGCGCATATTATCGGGTTTCGCCTCTGCGGCTGCAGACGCTACAGTGCCGGCGGTCGTGTCAGACATGATACCACCGCAGGATCGGGGTCATTATCTGATGTTCTTTCATTTGGCCCTGACCGCAGGGCTTTTTATCGGCCCCTTGATCAACGCATATCTGGTTCAGGAAGAAGACTGGCGATGGATGTGCTATTTTCTAGCCATCGCTACGGCAGTGACATTTGTAACTGCCATCTTTACCGTTCGCGAGACCACGTACCTTGCGAAGAACGCATTCGCCCCTAAACGCAAGCCATGGCAGTGGATGTCTCTGACAGTGGGATATAACCCCGATGCGTCATTCCTTCGAACAGTGTCAGATATCGCGTGTAATGTAGCATATCCACAGCTACTCTGGGCAGCCTTCGCCATTGGTATCTCGGTCGGCTGGTAAGGCCTCTCAATGACCAGTGCACGTCTGTCGCATTTCTTGCTGACCTCGATAGGAACATTGTCGTCCAATTGACTGCCTCGCGTACGTTCACCGCACCCCCCTACAACTGGCCCGCGGGAAGTCTGGGGCTGCTCTCCCTATCCGGATTCATCGGCTCCGTCTTAGCCTTCTGGCTCGGTGGGCGACTGATCGACATCATCTCCACTCGCTATACAAACCGACAGGGAGGGCCACGTCTGCCAGAGTATCGACTCCCCGCTATCGTCATTCCAGGGGTCATTGGTCCGAGCGGAATTTTGATCTTCGGTCTTTGCATCGCGCATCACACCCACTGGATCGGAGCCGCGTTTGGATATGCCATGCAGGCATTTGGCGTCGCAGCCATCTCCAACGTGGCGGTGACCTACTCCCTAGACTGCTACAGGCCGGTCTGTGTGCCCAATTGCTTTAGACCATCACGTTTAGTCAAGTCCCTACGCTAATGCTGAACAGATTACCGGCGAAGCTCTGGTCGTTATCTTTACAGTGCGTAATACCATCGGCATGCTGCTGTCCCTTTATGCGGCCGACTGGATCCAGCGCCAGGGACCGGCCCCTGTCTTTGGGGAGATGATGGCCATTCAGGTCGCTAGTATCCTACTTGCTGTCCCTCTTTTCTTCTGGGGTAAGCGGTTACGGGCGGTAACGTCTCGGTATGGGCCAATGAAACGATTCCCGGATCAGGTTGAGACGTGAGTATACAGCGGGCTGGCATGCAGTTATAGGTGCAAATTATAAACAACTTTGCGCCTTTTTTTTTTTTTTTTCTCCGGTCTCTATGTAAATGAGACAATGCATATTTTCGTTAGACGTTCGAATGAGATGTCGCAGATTGAATCAGGACTAAGAAAGCCAGATGCTATCTAGGAGGAGGTGCAAGGGGATGTCAACGCCGAGATCCTTTTGTAGTCTAGCACCTACGAGAAAGAAATAGGTCATGGCTGAAGAGATATTTGTGCAGTACGCGTTGCACCCCGCAGGAAACAGATTGGTGATATGAACCTTTCTTGGTGCATCTAGAAGCATTGAAGCATAGAGAACTGCGAATATGAATATGGTGGCGAGGCCAGTACGGGACATAATTCCAAAGCAGCCACGACAGCTCCAGTATAGTCAGAGGCTAATTTCCGACCCAGCAAACTACACGAATCAGGATGAAGGCCTCGACACCGCGCTACCAACATTGCTTGAAGTCTATATCAGCTTGACTTCGGCATTGCTCAGCGCCAGTTTTACCGACAGAGTGGCTGCCAGATTGATTAAGGAGGGGCCTTAATTTATTTTCGTCAGCATCTTCTTCACAATAAATGCTTGTTTACCCGCGCCATTCAGTGTGCGCCAGGATGCAGTACTCGTTTAGCGGAACAGCGGCTTTAGATGCCAGAAAATACAGCTCGATTTACAGAAAATCACGAGTCATATCTATACTGTCAATAGATGAATGTGTGCTGCGACGTATCCCTCCCAGAAACCTACGGAGTATGTTGAGGTGCTAAGATGGCAGATATCCATTTCAAGAATTCGGCATTCTCGCTTAATTACCGGCTCTTTGCAAGAAACTAGTGAAAGCATAACAGATTAATTGCCTAATAGTGTAGTCGTTGTGGAGACTTTTTTGTGCAGGACAATGTGGATCTTGGAGGGCTAATAAAGTGTTTATCCGAGCCATGGCAAATTTTTCCGGTCCCCAGTCTCTGGCGTGCCCCAAACATCTGTCGTTTTCCAAATGGAATTCCCAATTTGCAGATCTTTGGGAGAGACAAGCTGATCGACAGGAGGGAAGAAACAGTGGCAAAGGATAATGCAAACTATGCTTCTACGATTTGCCGACCCGAGGACTAACCAGGGCTCAACCTGTCACGCTCGGGTCTCCGACTAATGATCTCCCCGTGTTTTGCAACATCACCGCCCCGTAGCCACAACTGTGGCAACTGCAAAGTAAGGGGGACTGCCCAGTGTGGTGCAATCCAAGACGCCAAGCGGCCATAGAGGTCGAAGAAAGCCCAGTCGGGCAAAGATGGGACAGACAGCCCACAACATGTTCATGCGCGCCATCTCACTAGGACCAATGTTCGTGGCTAGTTTTGGCTGGTGTTATCAACTACCCCATACAGGACTTGCTCCTGGTGGGCAGCTTTGCCAACCTCGACGTTGAACACGCGGCATGGGCCTCGGCAATACTGTGTAGACCTAGACCGAAGAAAGTAAAATGTTAGAGACAGAGGAAAGAAGTTCTGGAGACCAATCTACCCGGGCATATCCGGAATTGAGAGCGCAATTCCGCTTGAGAATAGGCACACCTGGCTAAATGTTACAGGGAGATTCTCTCGGGTGTACACTGAATCTCCGACCCACGCGACGAGTCCGTCAGTAATGGAGATAAGGTTCAGCTAAGAGAACGTGTGACAGACTTCTCGATAGTCGCACGAAGCCCGAGATTTGAATATCCAGGCGGATGGCCACCGTGATCCCTGTCGCTACACGATAGTGTGTCGATCGATCCGCCAGGATGCATGGTAAGACACTATCCTAATTTGAGACATGCACACACAACGCCACCTGCGCGGTGGACGGAGTACAGCAAAGGCATTGACCCGGATAATGGCTATACGACCAGTCCTATTGTTTGCTTGACCCTCCACTTGCTGCGCTTCTCACCCTCCGCCTCAGCCCCGTTCCAAAAATCCAAGTACCTTGGGATCCACCTGGTGGGTGACAAAATCACGAACCTCAAGTGCTAGGAGTCGAGCTCTGAATTCCGGACACCACTCTGATGGGTGTCAAGTTGACCCTTGCGCACAGGTACGACGATTTAACCACCTGTGTACCATGGCATGAGACCTAGAATGTGCCGGGTAGAACGGTTCTCGAAAAAGTATACTCCTGGCGAATGGATTTATCACCATTGATTACAACCCACCAAGCTTCCCCGGACGTAGTCTTAGACGTCATGAATACTAATCAGAGTTTTCCGGGACCCAGACACATGGTCTCGGACTGCAGTCTAAGCGTATACTATATTAAAAGTTATCTCTAGTCTGCAGAAGCCAATAACCTAGTAGCGGCCAAGGATGAATAAAGGTACCCCAAACGCCCTTCTGCAAACATGTGATTAATATCTTTACTTCCTTAATCTTACCCATGAATTCGGCCAGAGCCTGCCAGTAACAATCCCTTCTTTTCCCATCATACTGTATCGCGTTCGCCAATCTCGTCCATATGAAGGATAATCGTTGCGAGTCTCTCCGATAGAGGCTGGCAGGACAACATGGCGGACAACACAACTATACCGGCGATGTCGCCGCCGCCAGGAACGGTATCTAATTTCACTGATCCCCCGTACATTGGTACCAAATTTCTCGTCGTGAATTGTGTTTTTCTACCAATCGCAGCTATTGCGCTGCTGGTCAGGACATGGACACGGTTGTTTATCGTGCGCAGTTTTCTCTGGGATGACTGTGAGTCTCTCTTCACACCAATGACACCCGTCTGCTGACAGAGAGATCAGATTTTATGATTGTAGCTCTGGTGTGTTCGTCTACTCTTCGGCCTACCATACATCGTGCCAAATCAACTAATGGGATATCTTTCGCATATTGCAGCTTCTATCTGCCGCCATGACCGGAGTCACGTTGGAAAGTAAGACTACCTCGACCCATCAATGACGACGTGGCTAGAATACGATGGCTGACAGTCGCAAATAGTGTTAAACTGGGGTCTGGGAAGACACATGTGGGACGTTCCAGCCGACTATCTATCACCGTGGTTTATGAAGGTACGATCGATCGCCTTCGGCATGCACACCAGTGACACTAACGACCGCTGAAGCTAAACGTGATCGCCGCCATTCTTTACTGCGCCGGGACCGGATTCACTAAAGTTTCTGTTCTTGTCTTCTATATGCGGATCTTTCCAAGTCGCAATTTCCACCTCGCCGTTTGGGCGATCGTGTTTGTTGCGGCAGGATACAGTGTTGCCAGCATCTTGGCCAATGTTCTCAGCTGTAGTCCCATTGATAAAGCCTGGTATCCTGCCAAAGCTGGAACTTGTATGAACCGGCCGGTGTTCTACTTTGCCAATGCTGGACTGGGCATTTTCACGGATTTTGCGACGGTGATTGTCCCCATGTGAGTCTCACCCTGTATCAGTCGCCTAGTCTCTTTGCTGGAGGAAATGCTAACAGAGCGTCCCCGACAGCCCCTGGTTACGCCGATTGCAGATGCCATTACGTCAAAAGATCGCGGTTAGCTGTATCTTAGCAATGGGATGCTTGTGAGTGATGTTCTTTATGCCACTGACATGGCGGTAACTCACGGTGTTGCAGTGTTGGCGTCGTCAGTTGTATCCGATTATCGACATTATATACTCTTCTCAAAAGCCCTGACCTTACCTGTAAGTGGCTTCAGTATGGGCATGCCACGGAATATCTGTCATTAACACAGTTCGCCCTGTAGGGAGCACGACGGACGCCCTGATGTGGTGTACGATCGAGTTGAACCTGGGAATCACTGGTGGCTGCATTACGGCGGTGCGCCCATTCGTTCGTCGTTACTTTCCTCGTCTTCTGGGTCTCTCGTATGGGAATGGTTACCAGTCTGGTTCAACGTCTCGCAAGTACGGTCATCCACTGGGCTCTGTTCCTCGAGCAAACGCGCCCGACTTTTCGAATACTCGCAGTAACCAATATTCAACCAATACGACGACCACAGTTATACCAGCGGCGGACAATGGGAGCGAAGAATATATCCTACAATACCCAGAAATGCCTGCAAAGAGCAGCGAGGGCATCGGCATTGTCCGGACGGTTGAGTTCGACGTGGAGAACTCGAGTGCCCGGAGGTAATATTCTACTTTCTTTAATTTTTCTTATGTTTGATGAAATTTAATACCTACTCTGCAATTTTTTTCATAGCGTCCTGTTCAGGAGTTGTTGGGTGGCATGCTGTATAACTTCAGTGTTGGAACGACGACGAATGACGGCGAAGCGACACTTGATGCATTATTAATCGGCGGAAAAGGCCTTCAGATTTGCATTGTTCAAACTTCAGAATTATTAGATTAGCGAAAATCGACTACTTAATTTCGAACCTCGGAACCTGCGGACTTTAGTGGATCCCAACGAACTCTAGTTGGTGCTAGAGCTGCTAGAATGCTGCTAGATGCCTGCTATCATCGACTAATCGCCCTGACTAACTGCAGTAGGTCCTTACGCCGGTGAGAAACCTGGTACCCATTGGCCAAGTCCACCCCTAATCTCCGCTACGTACGTCTTTAATGGGTTATGCCGAACGGCACTCCTGACGATGCCCTTTTGCAATCTCAGGAACACGCACATGGGCAGGTTCTCCACCATGAAGAATGTGCCTCCTTGAATTGCCAAGTGCGTCATGACTCGGCCCGAATAGAGTCTCCAGTAACGGTCCTTTCTCCAGCCGACGGCTCCTGAATCATGTATCCACCTTCTGGCTCAATAGACCGTCCTTTTTAATCCTTCGGTTCCCCAATCGGAACTGCAGTTTTGTCAACTGAGCAGAGCTCTTCCTGTCACCATGCGCGTCGGTTCTACTTTCTTGCCCCTGGCGGGCTCGCTCTTGGTCGAGGCCTCTTCGGTGTCCGCTGGTTGCAGCGCCCTCAAGGGCCAGGTCAGCAGTGCCGTCTTCTCTCAGAACACCCCGGTTTACGAGTATGAAGCGCAGAATTTCTGGTCCAACACGGAAATCATGAGCCCTGGGTGTGTTTTCCGCCCTCAGTCGAGCGCTCAATTGGCCCAGGGAGTGAAGGCATTAGTCGATGCCAACGCGCAGTTCGCCGTGCGCGGCGGCGGTCACATGGGTATCCGGGTATGTACATGATCGACAGTTTGGAATGAATATGTAGTTCTAACCGACTATAGGGATCCAACAATATTGACGATGGGGTGCTCATTGTTATGTCTAACCTGACTACTCTGGAATTGTCCGAGGATCAGTCGATCGTGTCGGTCGGTCCCTCTCATAGGTAGGCGCGCCCTATTCACTTTGCAAGAAACATCATCTAAGACTGAATGCCCGAGTCTAGATGGGAGGACGTCTATGCCTATCTCGCCGATTACGGCCTCGCCGCGGCGGGTGGCCGTCTGGGCCCCGTCGGTGTCCCCGGATTGCTTTTGGCCGGAGGTGTCAACTTCTATGGTAACCAGGTTGGCTGGTCCTGCAACACAGTCGTCAACTACGAGGTCGTCCTGGCCGACGGTTCCGTGGTGGAAGCCAATAAGACACACTATTCCGATCTGTTCTGGGCCCTGAAGGGCGGCAGCAGCAACTTCGGTCTTGTCACTCGGTTTGATTTGGAGACTATCAAATCGCCCAAGGTCTGGGCCGGTACCCATACCGTGTCCTCGGAATACGTGGACCAATTCCTGGAGGTATGATACGTGGCTGCATTTCTAACGCATTGGACGTCTTTCTAACAGACCTCAGGCTGCCGCTACCTATGCCTCCAACATTTCGGACCCCAAGACGCACATTGTGCCGGCGCTGGTTCCGGGCGACGAGCTCCTGGCTTCGGTCATCCTCTTCTACGACAGCGAGGATACCGGCTATCCGGAGATCTTCAAGCCCTTCACCGATATTCCCGCCATCAGCAGCACCCTGGACTTCAAGACTGTGTCGGAGTTCGCTGCCGAGACTGGAGCCATGGTTGTCCCTCACATCAAGTACGTTTGGCATACCTGTAGTTGAGCAAGAGATAGTTCAGTGACTAACGTAAGTAGCGATGTGTTTGTGGCTGGTACTGTTGTCGGTACCACCTACGCCGAGCTGCTCCAGGGTATCACCATCATCAACACCACTTTCTTCGAGCACTTGCCCAAACTTTACGCTCAGATCCCCGCTGCCAACATCTCCACCATCCAGCTGGACTGGCAGCCCATCGGCGCCGACTGGATGAAGGCCTCGGAGGACAAGGGTGGCAATGCCCTCGGACTGGACTCTTCCAAGATCTACCTCTGCTATGCCGAGGTCGTCGAATGGATCGGCTCCAGCTACGACGCATCGTCGCCCAGTGGGTGGAGGAAACTACCTATGCCATCAACAACGCCACCCAGAAGGCCGGCCTGTATGACGCGTTCAACTACATGGGCGACGCTGCCGGATTCCAGTCCATCTTCCCCGGATACGGCGAGGAGAACGTCGCGAAGCTGCAGACTATTGCCAAGAAATACGACCCCAACCAGGTCTTCCAGACTCTGATGCCGGGCGGCTTCAAGGTGTACTAATCCCTTCTTCTTGTACAGTATATAGTCAAGGCAGTGTTTTTACGAGGTCCTAGAGTATACATATAACAATATTCATTGATGTCTTATTCACAACATATTAAATATCCAAGACGTAATAGCCACTCATGGTAACTCAGCGTCCAGCGCTTTCATCCATTCGTCCCTCACAAACGAATGCATTTACAATGAATGACAAATCCCCTAGTTCGACCCCGAGAGGCCAGCAGCTTGGACCAAGAACTGAGCAGCTTCCTGGGCATTGGAACCATAGGACAGATGGGCCATGAAGTTCATGCCGTTCTGGCACACAGGGTCCCCAGAAGCACAGTACTCCTTGACCTTCGAGGCGGCCAGCTGGCCGACACCCTGCGTCTTGAACGGGTCGCCGAACAAGACAGCGCCGGAGATGGCGTCGGCACCGACCTTGCTCGCAGCGTTGTGCACCACCATGGCACCCTGGGAGTATCCACCCAGGACGACCTTGGTGTTCGGGCACTGCTTCTTGGCCTGTTGGATGAGCTCAGCCATCTTAGGCCCACCCGATGCACCCATCATGGCGTTTCCCTGTTTTCCATTAGCCTTTTGTTTTGGACGATGGTGAAAGCGGGCCACGTACAGCTGCATCGGCAGGGTAGTCCACACCCTGCACCGTCACCTTGTTTCCGGTCAGAGAGGCCAGCTGGTTGGCGACGGGGGGTCCGACGACCGACCCCATGTTGCCCATTTCACTTGTCCCGCGGGCGAAGATGAAGGTCAGCTCCTGGCAGCCCGAATTCTGGGTCACTCCGTTCTCTGTAATCGACGCACGTTTAGTCAATCCGGGCAAGCCGCCAGAAGAGGAACCGCCCAGCAAGCTGCTCAGGTCGGGAATGTTACCAGTGCTAGATCCAAGACCGGGGAGACCGCTGCCGGATGAAGAAGAGCCGCCCAGACCGGGGATAAGGGAGGAAAGGCTGCCGAGACCGCTGCTGGTGGAGGAGCCACCGAGTCCGGGGAGCTGCTGCCAGAAGAGGAACTACCAAGGCCTGGGATGAGGGAGGAGAGACTTCCTAGTCCGCTGCCGGTGGAAGAACCCAGTCCGGGGAGGCTGCCGCCAGAGCTGCCGAGACCAGGGATCAGAGAAGCGAGGCTACCCAGGCCGCTGTCTGTGGAAGACCCAGAGCCACCGAGGCCAGGGAGTGAGCCCCATCCTGGGAGCTGACGGCTTTCGACCGTCTTGGTCGGGGCGGCGATAGCCCCGCCAACGAGAGCGAGAGCGGCAATAGCCTTCATTTTTGCGTAATTCCGGGGGGGAATTGACGATTGAAAGAATGACAAGAGCACAGCTCTGAGAACGAATGACAGTTGATGGAATGAACGGTAGAGAAAGAATGGATTGGATCCGCTGGGATAGACGAGACAATCTCTAAAGATGCGGACGAGGATGAGGGTTTTTATACCCCTTTTCCCGTACTGTCCCAGCATCACAACAGGGATAAGGTTTTGATGCCTTGACTACATGAGTATAGTGCTACTCCGTATTCGGGGTGATCTATGGTTAAGTCAGTGGGTCAGGTTTCATCCTTTTGAGGCTTTGGCATCGGTCGCTGTTAGGGCTAGACTGTTTGTGACTTAGTACCCCAGGACCTTCGAGGTGCATTGTGCACTGCGCGCTCCATGGTCAATTCCCCAATGACATCTATGTTACTCTCAATTCCGTAACCCTGGGCGGAGCTTTTACCTTTGTGTATACTTAGTTTATCAACCCGCGTGGCATTGCTCGCCGAATTAGCAGCGTGCGTGTATACGAAAGACTACTCCGTACTCGGAATTTGTCTACCGAATCCTGAATGCCGATCCAACTCGGACCATACCAAGAAGAATTGTTAGCGGTACATGAATCAGGGAACAGTTCCTGGAAGGATGAACGGTGCGTGGTTATCGGCCGATCAATCTCACGCTAAATGCGTAGGGGCCTTGCCAGCTCGTCTCAGAGTGCGACAAGCCCTAGGCTCCGGCTCAGCCGCGGACTTAAAGGATATTAATCGCCATGTGAGGTATCACTGGGTCAATAACTCTGCGACTGACTCGAGACAAATATAGCTCAGCGTTCTTACAGCTGATTGCTGGAACTGCTATCAAACTGTTTGTTGTAGATTAACTGGTTCAGGGATGCTGTGGAGTTAAGGCTTAGTTAGGGCTTCCGTCGCGATCACTCAAAAATCGGCCATGGCTTCCACTCCCCAAACGGGTGATTTCTCCGCGTCGTTAATCAATCTTCCGAGATATTCCCGGTAGCGTTGATCCATCACCTTACCACAATGGTCGGGTCCATTTGTTGGGTTTCCTCTCGATCGACATGAAATGCGAGCTCTCTTGGGAACTCGGTCGAACGGGCTTTCGGGTAGGGTGCAATCCGTAGATATTCTATCTTGCACGCATCAATCGAGATACTCTTGATTCCTCTGATTAATTTTGTTTGGGGAACTACTATGGTACTGCATTTAGTGCAATTGATTTTCATATCGTCCGACATGTATTGAATCAGTATTTTCTCTGTGTAAACACCTACTGACTCAGCCCCTTAATCATACTACATCGCCATTATAGCCATCATAACTAACTTCTGCCTCACACGATGCCTTCACCTCCGATCTACATGACATCCATCAACTAACCTATTTCGGTCAAACTCCGGAGTATACATGTTTCAGGGCAATGCTAAGTTTTCAGCAATTCGGATTGTCATAAATGCCGAGTCGCCATGACGAACAACCTACAACCAAGCAACAATGAGCCGAGGATGAGAGCTCCTGCCAATAGGGAAAACTACGGGAACCTGAGCTTCCTGCGTTGGATCGCATACGGCAGTTGGATTAATTTTATTTGAGTTAAAGCTAGAAAAGTCTGAAGTCTCAGATCGACAATATACACAATCGGTAGATCTACGGCGTTTCATGGGCCGCTCCACTTTCAGCACAATCTGTACAGCCCAGCCGTCACATCTACGTGACTGATATTCAGGATATTTCCGGGCAGTGCCCTCGGTAGTACAATGCGGGTGTTATACAGTATGCCATTGAGGAGGATTGTTCAAGCGCTCCGAGCAAAATAGCTGCCCTCTTTCCAACTGCACAACAGAGGTCGTGACCTCGAGTTGCATACATGTCAGTGCTGCGTAGTAAGAGATGCTCGATGACTCCAATTTCACATTCTTCTGTCTACCTCTAACAATATAAGCTTTGGACACTCAAGTTGAGACATCTCTTAACGACAGTCCTGAAATTTCACTCTTCGGCAGTTCCAGGCATGTTCTATGTGACAGATCCAGTCCGTCTGCGTTTCAATTCATGCTGAGATGCCGTTCTAACAGAGTGCTTGTGTGGCTATACGTCGATAGTCATCCAGACAGACGTCATAGGTGGAGTCTTCGACTCTGCTCCACTGCGATATTGATGAAACAATAAAAAGCTTAACTGACCCTGGGTTTGATGGTGGTAAAGAGCGATCCTTCATATTAGAATTTGTGGACGTTGGACAATTACCGAGGTTTAAATAGCGTCCAGGGACCATCTCACTGTTTCGTGGTGTAGTCAGTCCCATCGTTTGTAGCTGAGTCTGCTTTAGCTGTTGGATGCCTATCTATCCAGCAGTATCGTCTGGCTTTCTACAATAGCGTTACCCTCCCTCTAGGTCCGATGGTCTGCTTCAATGTGTCATAGTAGGTGAGTTGAGTCCACTATATTGAACAACACGAGCAAGGGCCCTTGTTCACAAAACTCCCACTACGGTTTGACACTGTCATTCTTGAAGCAGTTCTTCTGTCCTACCCAAGGCAGTCAATAACATTTCTAATCATATGGGCTCAATACGTCGTGCATATATTTACTTTCAGATCATTCCTTCCTCTGGAAATCGTCAGATCCAATACTGGGCCAGCTGGAGCAACGCATTCAACTCTTGCCAACCGATTTAGCTCGATATTTTCGGTTTTATAGTATAGTGATTTAGCCACCATCCTGGCGAAAATAAGAGAGTAAAGGACGGCTAATGATTACATGGGATTCGGGCGTAAGTGTTCTGTGACCAGTGCTTCCAGACTTACAGTATGGTTATCCCTCTGAGATGATCATCCGAAATCACGTACTCAAAATCACCTTATTCATCATGCTTTGGTTTACTCAAGCCACCCATCGTGAAATTAGAACAACAGGACTGACATTTGGTCATACAACAAAAGATTAAGCAATTACGCGAATTGGTAATATATTTATCTAGGACCTATCAAGATGCCGTAGTAAGTATTGCATTATTTATATTGGTTGAAGTAAGATGTTTGGTTAAGGTTGTTTATAAAGATGAAAGCGATTTCAGCCATATTCCTTAGTTTGTCCGTTTATATATATATGTTAGGGGATCAAATCGCTTAAATCGACCGATTCCCCCTCATCCCTACGCTTGATCATCCGCTCGAAGAGATGAGGTAAAATCGCCTCTATCGCTGTGTTTTTATTATTCTAGGGAACGCGTCAACGCGCCGGCATACCTTCTAACTGGAATGTTAGCGAGAGGTATATAGAGAGCTTGGCGCCAGCTCCCTAGAATACTACCAACGTAATCTACGGCCGCGGGATAGGGCCCCTGAATCCTTCGGGTTTAAAATACCTACATAGTATAGAATAGTCTATACTCTATAGTGCAGATACCGCTGCTATTCAACCCTATTCTAGATCCTTTGGATACCAACCTTATAACACACGTCTCTTGGAAATCACTATTTTAAGATATCACCTCTTTCTGATACACGCTGGAAGCCTACCTATCTGGATGTCTTCCCAACGCATATTTCCACTGCTGAATCCCACGTTTCTAATACAATACTTATTAACACGTCCAGTAGCTGCACCCTTTCTGCCTAGTAGTCTATCTTTAGACAGTTAGACTATTAGATCAACCTTATAATTAGTAGTATAAGGCCTGGGAAGGGGAGAAGCAGTCTACAATGATCGCCGCTATTTCAGACCCTTTGTTACATCCACAATGTATATAAAGCCCATTTATAACACAACTGTCAATAAGAGCTGCTTAGTATATACTAAACGGCCGTTGACGACCCGAGAAGAGCCCCTGGATGGGAGCTGTATTCGGGTATAATGCATTTCTCTCTCTCTCTCTCTCTCTCTCTCTCTATATATGTTAGG